CGTTCACGCTGAGAAACATCCACTCCTAACTGCAGCGACGCGGAGGAGGTCGCTACGATCATCCAGGCACTCCTCGTCCATCCAGAAATTTGTGATAGCAAATGTGTCTTGAAGTTTGGCTTGGGGCAGACCGATAAGATTGACATGCAATCCGATCAGCCCGCACTTTTTCGGGCGCGCTGCACGCAAGATTTTTCGAGCGCACATGCTCGCACCATCGTCTCCGGCTGCATGCGCCTTTGGGTCCCAAGACCCATGAAACAACGACCTATGCAGAGCAAACTCCACTGTCGCCTTCAAGACTCAAGCACCCCATACCGCTCCCCAAACCCCCCAAGCCCCCCAAACCCCCCAAGCCCCAAACCGCAAAACACCCCACGACCCAGTGCTAGGCTCAGAGCCGAATTTGCGGCTGTGTGTTCGCTCGAGCGGGTAGGGAGCAGTGGCGCACTACTTGTAGAGTTTGGGAGCGTGCGCACATTCGAGGGGGGGCTGGCCACATTTTCATTTTCGCTTCGAGAACAAGAGCTGAAATCTGTTGGCCGCCAGGGGCTCATCTGGCAATTTGGAGACCAAGGAAGGCCGATGCTGCTATGCCTCGACTAAGAGTGACTCAGACTCCGAGTTTTCAATGGCATCTAGCCACACCAGCAGGTGCCACGGTGTCTCGAAGATCCTTCCGTCAGGATCAGGCAACTCGGCGATGGTGATTGTGCGCACGCTGGCCGCTTACGGTGCCAGGTGCAACTCACCATCGCCGCCCACCGGCCGAGCCTGGAGTCCAGAGAGGCGCAGAGAGCGGACAGACCCAGCAGATCACGAGTCGGATTCGTATCCTGCAGGAACCCTTCGCCATGTTGCCAGGGCAAGTCGACGAGGCAGGTAGGAGCTTGCGTAGAATTTGGAGCGACTGTTCTTCACGAACAATGCTTCTGGGCTGCCATGGACTGCGCTAACAGCCGCTTGTTTCAAGAAGCTCGGTTTGCAAACTGCGGCACCGCCGGCCGCACGTAAACGAAAGCCATTCGAAAACATGTTGCTAGATCTGCTAGGATAAACATCATGACATGCCATGAAATGTATTGAAATGTCATGACATGCCTTTTGCAAGGGGCAGCCCCAAGCAGGCTGGATGCTCGTTCAAGTTAAGTTGTTGTTTGCGACGTGCACTGTTGTGTTTCGTGGATGAGCGTCACAGTTGCAGAGGCCGCCAGTCCCCCGAGAGCGCAGGGCGCGTCACGGCACACGCGACCCTGAGGTGAGAGCGATTCCTTCAGTCAGCTTGAGCTATGGAGCTTGTTGGCCCACCAAGACTTGAACTGTCCTAGAGTTCCATCGGGTAGGGTACATGCAATTCCACAGCTTGCAGCCAACCATGCACAACAGGCAGCTTCAAAGAACAAGTAGCGAAAGACACCGTGCAAACATAGGTGACATAATGCAAGTTTTTAAGCGCGTGCCACCTGTCATCCGCTTTTCAGAAATCGCCGGAGCCTCAAGAACAACTGTTTGAGGCTTGTGCACATGCATGCACGAACTTCGCTTTTGCGCTCTGTCTCTCTCTCTCTCTTCCTCGTTCGGGGCTCTATTCAGCAAGGGGTCGTTGAGAAACGCGCCGACACTCAGGCCTGGCTGCCGAATGTCAGCTGCAGGATTCGACGACTTGGCGAAGCCATCGTCCAAAAAGCGCATCCGACTTTTACAGAATTAAGGCTACCGCGAAGTTTGGAAACTCTTGGTTTGCAGCGCTGACCCCTGGCCATATCTTCATCTCACAGAAAAGAGGGCGATTGCTGCTAGGGAAATCCGGTGCTCTCAGCCCCCTCATGCTCCGCACTCAGCTCGGAAAGACGCAGAGCCGCAGAGCTGTAAACCATTGTAAACCCTGCGAGCGCATTTGCTTGGCCCGTGCGGGATGCGATGCTCAAAAGCTCAGGAAGATGGCGGCGGCGGCTTTCCGGCGTTGCTTCGTCTTTGGACACAGAGGTGCTGCTGCTCCCAGCTTTCGCTCTTGGCGAGTGCTCCCATTGCGGCAGGTCTTTGTCCGAGCATGCGGCGACTTGCGCCAGAAGGTCCTGGCCACAGCATTTCCAGTTTTCCGCAACGTTCCGGGTCACGCGAAATCCTTTCATGCATGTTTTTGTCTTTTGCCAAAGCATCTTAAATGAAGCCTCCGAGAAGCCGCAGTCTTCCTCATCGCTCAAGATGTTTCTGACTGCCTCTTTTTACCGTCTCCTGACGCACGGTTTCTGAGCCTTTCCAGAAGCGTGTTTTTTTTTAAAGGAGGTGGTGTATTTTTTGTATGTTTTGGTTTTCGGTTTAGTGAGTACATGAGTCCATAAGTCGGTCAGTAAGTCAGTCAGTCGGTGAGCCAACAGGGCCGTCAGTCGTCAGTCAGTCATTCGGTCGTCCAGAGAAGAGCGGTCACTCAGTCAGTCAGTCAGCCAACCGAGCGGTCAGTCAGTCAGTCAGTCGGTCAACCAACCGAGCGGTCAGTCAGTCAGTCAGTCGGTCTGCCAAACGAGTTGTCAGTCAGTCCATCGGTCGTCCAGAGGGTGCGGTGAGTCAGTCAGTCGGTCAGTCAGTCCAAATAAGGGGGCGGCGTGTTTAACCGGACTCGGAATCGCCAAATGAGGGGTATGTTCAGCATGTATGATGAACCAGAATCGCCAAACGAGGCGTTGCATTTACGATATATGATGAACCGCTGTCGCCGAATGGGGGGGGTGGGCGCGTGTTCAGGATGTATGATGAACCGGAATCGCCAAATGATGGGGCCATATTCAAGATGTAAGATGAACCGGAATGACCAAGTAACATTTATCGCCAAATGCGGGGGCGTGTTCAAGATATGTGATGATCCGCCGGAATCACCAATACGAGGGCGGCGTGTGTAAGATATGTTGTGAGCCGGATTAGCCACATGAGGGCGCATGTCTAAGATATAATCATGGTGAGCCGGAATCGCCAAGCGAGGGGGCATGTTTAAGATAACTGGAATCGCCAAATTGTCAGTGTGGACTGTTTTGCCTTAGGTCTGTGTACAGACAGCGTCTCTACGACGCCCCTTTTGGCCCAAAACCGTAGGGCCCTTGAGTCACTGCAACCACCAGCAGTAAAAGGTGTGTTGCTCCTGCTTTCGAACACTGGTAGCGGAGCAGTGCCGAAGATCACCTCTGACAGCATTTGGTTGCAAAGTACACCGGGATCGATTGAATCATCGGCCGCATACGCTTCTCCTGCCGTGCTGCTCGACTGGAAGAGCACGCGCACCCCGCGGGTGGTACGTTCCACCTTGGCAGGAGAAGCGTATGCAGCCGATGACTCAATCGATCGCGGTGTACTTTGCAACCAAATGCTGTCACAGTGATCTTCGGCACTACGGCCAACCCGGTGTCCAACTTGAAGACCCTCCGGCATGTACACGCGACAGATTGCAAGAGTCTCTTTGACGCGGCGATATCTGCGAACTTCAACACGGAAGAGAAACGTGTTGGACTGACGATTCGCGCCGTCCAAGAGACAATCGCGCCGCAGGATATGCGGTGGGTCCCTACCACGGCAATGCATGCCGATGGGCTCACCAAGATATCCGATAGCCTCCGCGAGACCTTCCGCGAATGGCTGAGGAAGCCTGCAATTCAGCTCAGGTCTGACTCCTGAAGGACAACAGCAAGCGCCGTCTGCAGCCTCCTGCAACGCAAACAGACAGAGATGGTATCCCTGGACGCCTCCTGTCAGCGGCGCAGTCCTTCCTACCAACCTCTAAAACTGTGCACCCGGACACGTCTGGCACCACGAACGCACCCGCAGCTACGGTTCACCCGGCTGCCTTTCCTGAACGAGAGCTGAACGGCGTGACGCCCAGCTCAAGGGGAAGCGACAAACTGCTGACCCTGTTCCCACCAAGTCCCACGGCTTTTGACCCAACAAAAAGTTGGGAGTACTGGCTAGAAGTGGTTACTTCTCGACACTACCCTCAAATCTGGCAAGACCACAACGCCCTTTTCGGAGCAAATTTTAAGTATGTCACTCCTTTAAGACTGCTACGGGGAGCTTCAGAGAAGGCGCCAAAGCGCGCGCAGAGTTCGTGCGCACGGCCATAGCAAAAACAAAGTTGGGAGTGTCAGTGTGGACTGTTTTGCCTTACGTCTGTGTACAGACAGCGTCTCTACGACGCCCCTTTTGGCCCAAAGCCGTAGGGCCCTTGAGTCACTGCAACCACCAGCAGTAAAAGGTGTGTTGCTCCTGCTTTCGAACGCAAATGAGGGGTCGTGCTTAACATGCATGAGAAGCCGCAATAGCCAAAAGACGGGGGCGTATTTAAAATACATGGTGAACCGGAATCGCCAAATGAGGGGGCATATTTAGGATTTATGATGTAACGGCCTCACCAAATAAGAAGGCGGCGTGATAAAAATATATGATGAACTGTTGTCGCTTAATGTGCAGTTTAAGATATAGGCTGAACCGGAAGCGCCAAAATGAGGGAGCATGTTTAACATATATTATGTGATGAACCGTTATCGCCAAATGAGGGGGCGTGTTTAAGATATGTGATGAACCGTTATCGTCGAATGAGGGGGCGTGTTCAAGATATGTGATGAACCGGAATCACCAAATAAAACGGCGGCTTGTTTAGGATATTTGGTGGAACTGGACTCGCCACACGAGAGCGTCTACGATGCAATTATGGTGAGCCGGAATCGCGAAACGAGGGGGCGTGTTGAACATGTATCAGGAACCGGAATCGCCAAAAGAGGGGGGCATGTTTAAAATACATGGTGAACCGGAATCGCCAAGTTAGGGGGGTGTTTAAGATATATGATGAACCGGTGTAACGATTTCGCTAAATGAGGGAGCGTGTTTAAGATATAGGATGAACATGGATGAACAGTTGTCGCCAAATGTGGATGCATGTTTAAGATATATGATGAATCGATACCGCCAAAAGAGGATGCGCGTTTGATATGTGATGAACCGCTATCGCCAAATGAGAGGGCGTGTTCAAGATATGTGATGAACCGTTATCGCCGAAGAAGGGGTCGTGTTCAAGAGTTATGATGAACCGGAATCACCAAATAACGGGGCAGCATGGTTAAGATATTTGATGAACCGTTATCGCCAAATGAGGGGGGCGTGTTTAACATGTATGATGAACAGATATCGCCAAATGAGAACGCGTGTTTAAGATATATGACATGAACCGGAATCGCCAAATGAGGGCCTTGTTCAGGATATATGATGAACCGGAATCGCCAAAGGAGGGGTGTAGCATATTTGGTGAACCGAATCGCGATATGATGAACCGCCTGTCCCCTTGCCGTTGCGTTAGCAAATTGGGGGGAGCTGCGCCCCTGCCCCCAACCCCCCCGCTTTCTTAAGCCCTGTGAATGTGCTTTAGTGAATGTCGTACCGTCAAGAACGCTATTTCGCCATTTGCGATTTCGAGTTAAGCACATAACTCGTATGAGACGTTGCAAAGCCTGTCCGACCGTCCTCAAGGCCCAACTCTTTCGCTTTCTCTTTGGACCGCGCAAGCTTGCTTTCATGACCATCGTGCCATCAAAAACGTAAAGCCACTGGCGGTCGGCCCGTCGGATTTACAGACTGAGTGACCGAGCGATAGCCGAAGACCAGTAGGCCGAAAACAAAAAAAACAAAAAACAACACCAAAAAAGACCTCGAGTGCAGCCTCAGTTGTCGCCATCCTTATGACGCTTGCAAACCGCAAAACCAAAAACAACACCCAGAGAAAACCCAAAAACTACCGCAACAAAAACCTGGACCCTTTCCAGAAGGTTGCAGCATCACGACTGCCCCAGCTTCGGTGGTGCGGTGGCAGGCGAAGCGCTGGGGTGTCCAGGCACGTGCTCCTGGCGAGATCGCTGCGCGCCCATTGTGCGCAGATATTGCTGTGCAGGCAATTCCAATTGCTGGCTGTCGCAGCTTCAGTGCTGGAAGCTCGGTTGAGGATGTTGAGGAGAGCGCCTCCTTGTTTGTTTTCTGCCAAGTATCACGATGCTTTCGGAAGCTGTGTCTCCCGCATATCACTTCGAGACGGACCGCTGCCCAGCTCGCTTCGAGAAAACTCTGTCTCTCGCTGTGCATGTAACGCGCACACAGACACACACGCACACACTCACGCACGCACACACACACACACATTTCTGGAGTAGCTGTCGTCATCTGTCGTCCGGCTATTCGAAACGCCTTGCGCATTGCTGCCCGACTCTTGCCGTAACTTGTCTCCCCCACCGGGACGCTGGCTGTCACGAGATGTCACGAGCCTCTCTTGCCAACAAACTGGCTCGTGCCGGCCGGAAGCTCTTTAGTGTTGTGCGCTGTTCAGGCTCGGGCAGCATTTTGGTGCTTAAAGGCTTAAGCTTCACGCAAAACAGTGAAAGTCTCTGACTTCTCATCTTCTCGAGTGTTGATCGGGACATCATCCTCAGTACTTGCAGAGCGTGCCGAAAATTCAGGCAGTCGCCCCTGCCCGCGCCTCAGAACTCTGCTCAGTAGGTGAGTTATGCACGTGGCATGATCATGCATGATCTGCAAACTTTAATCGGACGTTGAAACCACAGTACACACCAGTGTTCAAAACTCGACGGCATCGTAAGAGAAGGCGGGCCAAAACAGGTTGCTCGGCGGGTTCAAACCGCGCAGATGGCTTGACAAGGGGGCTCGCTCTCGTTCAGTATGTTGCGCTCCTGAGCATGAAGAGCCCCCTCAGTGAGCAACGACACAGCGAGAAGATGCTTGAACTCCTGCTTGTCGGCAACGATCTTCTAAAAGACAAATGCAATATTCGGCAGACATACAGGATGACATGGAGCTGCTGAAGCGCAGGAAGAGGCTGTCTTTTCAGGAACATTACTTTGATTTCCGATTTCGGTTGTTCTGATCTGATGCCTGCATCCAACGGTTTGCCTTTCGGCGCTGCCTCTCACACAATCCCGGTCCAAGTAGCCTACCTGTGCCGTAAAACAAGGCCTTCCAAATTTCACATCCTGCATCCCTCGTAGTTGGCAGGCTCACCTGGCGTGCCAAGAGCCGGGGATGGTTGGAGCTGGATGTGCTCATGGGAACCTTTGTGGAGAAGCCACTCCGACACGTCTTTGTTGCACCCTGCCTGGAGTCTCAGGGTAGCAGCGCCAGCTGCCTCGCAGTATGTGAGATGACAGGATCATGCAACGTGCATTCGCAAGCATGCACAAGCCTAAATTGAGTTGGGGCCGAGTCGATGCAGAAACCAGCCAGCCAGGCACATTGCAGACTTTGACAGCGAGAAGCTGGATTTGCTCGAGGAGGTCAGGGGACTGGACAGAGCAAGCAGCGTAGTCGTGTGCCTTCCATGTTGCAGGTCTTGGAACTGGAGAATCCGGACCTCTTCAAGTGGTTTACCAAACAGGCATGTCCACGCGAATCGAGTGAACTTCCGCGGCTCATGTGCTGGGATTCGCGAGTGGGCTGAGGCCGAATACAAGGGATGATGTGCTTAGCCCTGCAGGTGCCGGTGCCAGAAGAGCTTTTGAAAGAAAATGAGGTCATGCAGCTTATGATGGAGTGCCCTTGCATGCTGTTCTTGTATCCAACCCGGGCCATTCGATGATCATGCAGGTACGTCAAGAGCGACCACACGAGTGACTTCAGTGTCAAAGGAGCATGAGAGTGGTTGAATTGGCAGTGTCTCACCGACTTTCCCGGACCTTGCGCAGTAACGCGTTTTGAGGTTGGTACTTGCAGCAAGCTTGCAGCGAGCAGGCTCGTTTTACATGAACTGTTTAACACCAGCAGTACCTGCACAAAGACCAGGTATTTATGCAACTAATTTTCTGCAGCTTCCTGCAATCTTGCGAACAAAGGTGGTTTAGTGCTCTGCAGACCGGGCGGGCGTACACCATTGTATTAGTTTTGCTTGCGTGTCTTCGTTCTCCTTTGACCTCCAAGGCTGACGAGGTAGTTGATCATGAGTGTGTTAATGAAGTCAAGCAAGGCGCTGCTACAGGCAGGTTGAGAACAGCACCAGCTTCCAGAACCTTCCAGACCTCTTACACAGACAGTGCGACGCTGTGCCAACTCGGTTGGAAGCTTGCGCCCCAATGGCGGCGGGCTACTTTGCTCCAAATTATCCTTCTACTGGCGAACATGAGGCCACAAGATCTCTCGGTGTGGTGCCGTTCGAGCTGCAAGCACACTGCAGGCCAACCTTCAAGAGGTTCGTCAGCAAATCGCCCTGCTCAAGCGAGACAACGTGCTTCCGCGTTAGTCTGGAAGAGTCAAGCTACTGCATGCAGAATGATCGGTGCACAAGGGGTCTTGACAAGGATGTGCTGAGAGAGGAGATGAGGAAGACAACGCGAGAGCATGTGTCCCAGCTTTCTGTGCTTTTTGGGAACTGTGACTCTTAGATTCGAGCCATACTGCTGCCAAGTAACCATCACCAGATGGAGCGTGCCTTCTGGGCTCGGTACAAGACGAAGGACGCGCTGGGATCACTTGTGTGCTGCTAGCTGCTACTGTGGCTCTCCGAACCTGTCATGCCCCAAAGATTGGGATTCACAGTACCTTAGTTCTTTGGGCCTGCTTAGAGTTAAGCGAGATCCGGAAGTGTACCAGTGCAGGTACAACAATGCAGAGCAGTGTCGTGACTGTAGTGACCTGGATGGAGTTTGGATCTTGAGAATCGTCCCACGTCACGCAAAGCTACTCGTCGGCCAACGAGCAGACTGACAGAGTTGTTAGAGTTTTCCGTCGGCAAAGCAGATGTAGCAAAGACTTAGTACAGCCATCTCCAAGCTCCGTGCATGCACAGGATTTATCGGACCGTGTGGGTGCCTGAGGCGTGTTGCTGGTGATGCCTGAATATCCCGGTGCCCACGGTCTTCACTCTCTGAAGTCTGTCACTCGAGTCCTTCAAAATTTGCCGAGGCGGATTACATCCGTATTGCAACCATCACGAATCCATCGCCGATAGGGCAATACTGCCCGAAGTTGCAAGGCCAGGATCCCAATCGTCGGCACGGTACACCGAGCCAGTACAAACTAGACTCTCAAGCAGATGCAGGACCTGAGCCAGACGAGTACTACCAGGAGCAGCTCGCATCGTCCATCCATAAGTCTGATTATCTGCGATTGCCAGGGGCAGATCCAGAAAGTCCGTCAGAAGACTCGAAACCAATTGTCCACCGCCCAGCAAGCCCAGCGCAGCAAAGGAAATTCGTCGGCGCTCCGCTGCGCACCCTGCCCCCGCACCCTGGTAGGATGAAGGAGGCTGCACGGCTGAAGGGCGAACGTTTCGCCGAGCCCGAGCCCGAGCGGGATCCGGAAGCCTCCTTTTCTCGGCTCTTGGGGACGTCTGCGACCACGCTGCCCAGGGATGCAGTGCCTCCACGTCCCAAGGAGGCCGACAGCCGGCTCGCCCTATGGATCCTCGTGTAATCGCGCACTCTGTGCATAAGGTGCCATGCAATTTCAGCCCTGCGCTGGGAACAGAGAGCAGCCGCTTAACTGTCATTGTGGCATATGTTGTGGCATGTCGGATGTCAGCCTGAGCAACGTGGCTTGGCGAAATCGAGGCGTGGGAAAGCTCCAGGATCCACACCTGCTTGGCCTCCGGAACCAGACTCACTGGCCTGGTCCTCGACTGACATTGACGGACGGAAGCGACTGCAGTTCTTGATTTCTCCGTGTAACGTGGCACATTTCAGGAATTCCATGCGGAAGCCTGGCAAGCTGCAGCGCCCTTTGTGCGTACTCACCGCGGTTGGTGCTCGGATTGTTCAGGCTATGACAGCTGGCAACAGTATTGCGAGTGGTTCCTGTCAAGCGACTACAGTGCAGTCGTACTGCTGAACACCTGGTTGGGCCAAACCATCCTTGATGCCGCATGCGTTCCCAAATCTAGGCCAGAGCTGCTCCCGCGGGATAGCCCCAAGCACGCCTTCAAGGCGCGAATTTTCTGCCAGTCGATGATGGTCCTGCCCCTTGCAAGCCAAAGACTAAGACACATACTGAAGTGCTCGAGGAAACGGAACGACATGCGCACCCCGGCAACCGCCCGCTCGCCCACCCGCCCACCCCCCGCCCACCCGCCCGCACACCCACGCACACCCACCCTCCCACCCAGTTGCGCACTCCTGGAGGCGCCCGCAGTGCCTGCATGTATGCACGCACGGCACGCACGGCGTTGCTGTGATTCTGTACTTGGTCTGCTGCTTTTATTGCGGCTATCCTGCCCAAAGCTGGTGCAAGGAGGACAGGTTCTTTCAGGCATTTTCAGGCTGCACGTGGGCGGCTACGCACGGATAGTCGAGGGCAAGGGTCTCAGGGAATCTGCGGTCGGCAGGAGTGGAATTTGTGCGACAAACTAGAGTCAGAGAACATCTTAATGTGTGCTGCTTTGCTGTGGACAGGGCTGAGGGTGCAGGGCTGGCGAATACCCGGGTCCATGAGTCCATGAAGACGAGGAGTCGTGACGCGCGGCAGAGGGCATCACACATGTTCTCTCCTGTGGCACGCCGCAGGGCCCTGCGGACAGCCACTGTCCACGCCCAGCCCGGGCCCGGGGCGTGGCCGGGGCCAGGGCATGGACAGTGGCTGTCCACACCGGAGCTTTCTAGTTTTTGGACGCTTGGCCATTGCTTGCCACTACTTTTGTACAGTAGCCTTTGTCTCGGACTTGACTCTATTCTTGGATGTTGCTCAGCAGATTCTACAGACCGAAAGGAGGGGACACCTTTGGAAACCTTTGCGAAACGTGTGCTACCGGTTTCTCCCTTGCTCGCTCATGCGAGCATGCGGAACCACGAAGCTCAAAAGGTTCGTCAGATGGTATGTAACTCCCAGTGTGCAGCGGGCAAAATCGAGATGCTTATCGCTGTCCGGGGGCAGCACGACAATTTCATATCTTCCATGGCTCGTCAGCCGCATTTGTGCTTAAATGAGAGGATGGGCAGGCTATGGCAGGCTTCTACTGGCCGGCTTGATGCTGAAAGCCTTTGTGTCAGGAGAACACGAATGCGTGGATGGCGAGGTCGAACGAAGCAAGCCCAGCCCGAAACCGCGACTATGTGCGAACCTGAGCTGCGGGTCTTTTTTACTTGTGTCTCAGCTTCTTGGTGCATTCTGAGGTTTCCAGGATGACGCGCTCCCAGTCGTGGCTCAGCTCTCCAGCCGCTGCAATCATTGTCCTTGAAGCGCCAGCAGCTGTGTTGAGCCTGCCGTCCTTGGCAAGGTCGCAGCCCATGCACGCCAGCAGTTGACAGCGTTTCACTCCTGATTTCTCTGATTCCCGGTCGCCTGTCTATCTTCAGAGATAAACAACCGTGTGATGACGTGCTACTCTGGCTGTCTGCATCCGGGAGCAGAAACACCATGCTTTGGCAAAGCCATGTGCTTGGTACATGAACATTGTAGTGTCGAAGCCGGAGAGGTCCAACGCTCTTTTCAAATTCCTTGTGAGCATCGGTTGTTCGAGCTGCACTTGTTCATCCAGTACTGCAAGCCATGTCTCCTGCGAAGCTGCCGTTGCTCCTCAGAGCAAGCCATGGTGTTGCCTGAAGTACTGCCTGCACAAGTTGTGGGCAGGATCTCAGGTCCATCATTGGGGACAGAATAGCCGGATGCTCAGGCTTCTCAAACATGCTCCCTCGCTATCGTTCTGTCAATGGATAGGGTGGTGCAACAACATCGCGCACGGCTTCTGCCAGTAGTGCACACTGGTGGATAGCTGTGCAGACTGTTGGGGAAGTGCTAAACAAATCTGTCTGGCTCCCTCAAGTTTCGCTTCAAGCAGCGAATGCATAACCGCGAATGGCCTAGGTGCGATGTTTATGATGGCCTGGGAAGCCCTGAGGGAAGGTGCAAGTCTCAGAAACTGAAGATTGTACAGCGAAGAATGCTGGCTGAATCAAGATCCGCTGCTGAGGCAGAAACCTGGCAGACGTCTGTTGGAATGCCACCAAAGAAGCCTGTCCAAGACTCAAGCCTCCACCAAGTGATTTCTGTGAGGAAGCAGTGAGCAGCATTGTCTTGCCCAGGCTGCTCCGCCTCCTCCGAAACCTGGAAAGCCAAAGTCTGCCTCTAGACAAGCAAAGCAGAAGTCAAAGTTTGTGCGAGATCGAGAGTATGAAAAGGGAGTATGGGCTCATTCGGGTCTGTTTTAATGCCTCAGCTTTTCACATCTTGTTCATGGGTTTCCAGTTCTGCAATATCCAGTGCTGCAGATGTTTTGGGACAGGTGCGAGGTAGGTTTGATGCACGCCGGCGACGGATTGAGTGCTAGAAAATGCACGTATTGCTGATTCGGAGGCTGGAGGAAAGGCAACCAGAATCTTGGGCTGCATTCGAGACCGAACGGCCCTTGTGCAATCGATGTTTTTGTGCTTTTACTTTTCTTGTTGCCACTGCTTGAGACGTTCAACGGGTCATAGGGTACTTCTGTTGGACAGAGGAGGAGTAGATATTCTGAGCCGAGGTGATGCCAAGATCAAGGCGGAGGCGGATGCAGTGAACTCTGGGACAGCGGTAGCCCGGCCAATCAGACAATGCTTGCTCCTCTTACGTGGTATTGTCCGGTCTCTGATGCAGTGGATGAGGCCCTTACTCAGCAGCAACTGGAAGCATTGAGGAAGATCCTCAGCTGAGGGTATTTATTGTCTGTGCTCTGGACGGTCCGCAAGCGGTGTCTTTCACTTGCAGGGCTTTGCTGAGTGCGAAAACGACTGCGACTCCTTCAGGAAATATGATACAGACAAAGACTCGTCCCTCGCCTACGAAGCTCGGCTGCAAAGGCTAAGCTTTGACAGCCTGGTGCTCTTGCGACAGTCTGGAGATGTCTCGAGGCGGAGTTTTCCGGGCTGTGCAAGGAGCTTGCTGCCCTACAGAAAGCGCCGACCCCACGCGAAGAAGACCTCAAGGCCAGAAGTCTTCTTGCCTTCTGGGCACTCGAGCTCGTGAGCAGCTCTGAGACTCGGTGCAGTTTTCGGTTCCCGAGGCCATTTTCGAGGAGTTCGACAAAGATGATAGCAACAAGCTGAGTGGCTTGGCGATCTGAAGGAAGAGCGTGACGTTTAGTGTTTTTCTTGTTCCATGCTCATGCTTAGGCATGCAGGAGTTCAACTGGGCCTATGCTACTTTGCAGAGAAAAGTACAGGCCACGTCAGCAGAGTCATTCCACGATTGCCCCGATTCTGAGACAGTTGTTGCCAGGAAGCCGCGGCTACAAAGATCCAGGCGTTTGAAGAAAAAACTCTTCTGGAGAAAGCTTAGACGTTTCCGGAGACTAACCAAACATAGGAGTTGGGTCCATGTTCGTAGCCAGCCGTGGCAATGCCAGCGCAGATGAGTTTCAGTCTTTTTTTGATGATCGGCCACTGGGTTTTATCTGTAGATTCCACTGCCTGTCGGCCTTCGTAGGGAGTTGCGGCAAGCTGCGAAGGCCAGAGTTCGTGGAAACCAAGCGCGATCCCAAGTTGAGGACCAGCTTCTGTCAAGGTGTATGCCAGTGAGTCGCCCGCGTCGCCGTTCGTGTGAATCATTTGCCGTGGCTGAGAGGAGGGATCTGCTCTGAAAGGACGACCCAAGGCGCCGCCTCCACCACCGCCACCCAAAAAAGCAGGAGACAGCGTCACAAAACACTGCTTTCGTAGAGTTCCGACATGTTGTAAAGTTTCCTTCCTCCGCCAGGAGCCAAAGCAAAAGCACAAACTGCAGGTACGGCTGCTTCTTGGACGAGCAAAGCCGGAGCATGGGATATCTCCCTCTATCACAGAACACATGCTCTGTTGGTTTTCAGCTTTGCATCTTCTTTGATGTGCTTCCGATTGGGAAAGCGAGGCATTGTCGGAGGAGCAGATGAACCAACTGAGGCAGAAGTACGACACAAATAACGAACCTTGGATTAGAATAAGTGTGGGACAGGTCGCACAGATGTGCAAAAGACATCATTGCTCCACGTCCTTAGCAGGTCTTGGAACATTGCCTTAGTTTTACCGTGAGCTGCCAGGACAAGATGCTGACAGTGGCGCCTCGTCCGAATGACAGCTTTTCGTGCTTGTACAGAGTACTGTCAAAACACACCTTCCTTTGTAAGCTCGAAGAAAACCGAGGAAGAGTTTGATGCAATGGTGGCGACCTAAAGAATCGAAAGACAGCTGCGACTTTCTTGTGAGTCGGTGGAAACGGAGGCACGTGAAATCGCCACTCTCAAAGGGCAGAAGCTGCCTGCGGACGTGAGTCTAAAGGAGATACATGATTAGCCCACACAGAGCAGGCCATGCGAGCCTCATCTGCCGCCAGGAAGTGTTTCAGGAGTTCGACAAGGACACTCGACAATGCACGCCTTTGCGGAGCAGTGAGAATTTTAGGAATCTAGAATCACCGCTTGTAGGCTGCGTACATAAACGTGTGAGGATGGCAGTGGCAAGATGAGCATGGAGGAGTTCAATTGGGCCTATGCAACGCTGCAGCAGGAAGTGGAGGAGAGCCCTAACATCGCCTCGACATTTGCCGAAAGTTGTTGTGACTCTTTAGAGACTCTCTTTGGACTTCTCTGATGTCGGGTTTGGAGGCAGCTGCCGCTGTGAAGATCCAGGCTGGTTGCAGAGGCTACTCGTATTCTCAGTTCTCATTCCGATAGCATTGCAGGCAAAGTTTCGTGGCAACCAAGCTCGATCAGAAGTGGATGATATGAAGAAGCTGAAGGTCTCCTCTGCCGTGTGTTGTCAAAGGTTACAAGGCTTCGCGATGGCGTCTGGAGAATACGGGCATATTGCACGAAGCAGTGCACGAAGCTATCAGTTTCTGTTGTGTTCGCTCTAGGTGCACCGTGCTACGTGCGGGTAAGCTTTTTCCGGGCACAGGCTGGGCATCCGCCACCTCCAAAAGGCCAGCAGATACCAGCAGCACGTCTTACTTTGAGAGATTCTGTGACAACTGCGAGATCTTGCAGGTGTGGCTGCCGTGAAGTCCAAGGCCCAATCTGCAGCATCAAGTAGCGGCACTGCCGAGCCTCCTCAGCAGAAAGAGTGCCTTTCGGGGCTGCTGTAACTGTGGTTCAATTCGAAAATTGAATTTCCGGTGCTGAGAAGATGCTCAGCGCACTAAGGGCCTGACACAGGCACAAATGGTGGCCCTAAGAGAGAGGTTCGACGTGGATGGGGACCAGACGATGACTTTGGTTCCTCGGACCTGCTGACTTTGCTTTAGTAGGCATGGTAATAACTTGTGATGCCGGGGTCTCTGCAGTATTCCAGCATAGCTGAACTTCAGACCTCCAGTCAGCCCATGTCACCGATGCACGCTCACTGCACCGCAGGCAGAGTTCAAAGGGCTGGCGCGTCAAATTTCGCAAATGCAGGGTCATGCAGCTCCCAGCTATGACGTGCTGGAGGACTTGGAGCTCTGAGGCGCACGCACAAGCGCTCAATGCTCTGCAAAGGAGATTTTCGACGAGTTTGACAAAGACTTTACTGGCAAGATGGGTATGGATGAGTTCAACTGGGCATATGCCACGCTGCAGCTTAAAGTCAAGGACCGGCGTTTGTGTCACGAGCCGATATAGGGAGGGACCGAAAATAGAGTTGCGGAAGGAGGAAGCTGTGAAAGAGGCCAGACAGCTCAGTGCATGCGGCAACGGCACCCGCGGTACCGCAAAATCGTTGGCTAGGCTTCACGAGTCCTCAGAATTCGTGAGGGGCCAAGGATCCTTATTATTCGCTCCCTGACTTCGTTTCGGAGCTTGGATGCTTGGTGTCTTTGGATGTTTTTAGGCCTTGACCGGTCGGGCGGAGAGAAGCTGGGTCGGAAGCTCGATTCAACTGCTTTCCATCGCCAGATGCACTTTGCGGAGCGCCGGGGCCCTGCGCTTGACTTCTCTATTCCGAGGCCTCGCGCTTGACACCAAGACACTGGAGCCAAGCACCAAGAGCATGGTTCATGATGCTTAGACTGAATGTGCGGACCAATCTCGTGCCTGCAGTCAGGATTCGAGGGATCAATCCAGATTCTCTGGCTGCTCGGCCCGGATCCCTGTTCGGGATTGGTCTGTCATGGTGGAGACTTAAAATTTATTTTCCAGGTGGAACTATGCAAACCCTCGTGCTGCTCTACAAGTAGGCTACAAGATCAAGAAGGCACGTGATCGTTCACGCTGCTTGCCATCTATCCTGCGTTCTCGTCACGCTCCAGATGTGCTGGGTGCTTGGTCGGACAAGGGGCTTGGCAGGTTCAGGAGTTTGAGCAGGTAGGACTCCTGGCATCAAAGAACAGAAAACCCCTCAACAGCACGGATAGAACCAGATGGAGCAGGTTATCTTTACTGCCAAACCCCTTGGCTGCTCGAGCAGAGTTTTGCGGGAAGAGGCATAAAAAAGAAGCTTCAACGAGAAATGGAGTCATCTTGCGGATTCTTGTGTGCCTATGCAGCTGCTAATTGTTGCTATGTTGCGAACCACAGGGGTTTCATCCACCGGCCGAAGAAGACGAGCTAGCTTAGACACCCATCAGGACCTGGATGTGCTGAAGTCTTTTTCTGCTGACTGTCGCAAATGAAATCAAAACGAGCAACTTTCGCGACTCGGTATTCGCGACTCCTTAGGGATCTTGGAGATCTGTGCCAGGTGAATGCAAAGACAGGCATGGCTGGCTACAGTGAGGAGCTGATGAACGCTACAGTGAAGGTCGCGGATCTGCGGAGCTGTGAAGCTGAGCTCATGAAGAACTCGTTACAGGTGTTGGATATCGAGGCAGTTCCAGGATCACGAGTTCACAAGGAGCCAGCTCTATAAGTGCCCGTCTTCCCGATGATCCGACAGCTTGTTGTGCTATGTGCAGTGTGTGACCAACACATAACAGCAATGCATCCTTGCCAGCCTCCCAAGTTCTACCACGTCAGCCGGATCCTCGGCAAAGTCGAACTTGGCTTTGGACGTGCAAAGCACAGCCTTGATCCTGAAGGACTGGACCGCTCAAGCGGCGGCAAGCTGGGTGTGCTCCTCACTTCGTCTTTGCTGCGACGATGTCGTGATTTCACCAGAGCATTCGTGTAGCCTGAAGGCATGCAGGTTGAGCAGCCTTCTCTGGAGCCGGTTCCTCAGACCTGCAGAGCACTAACAAACCACTTCACTGCACTGCCATGCGACTTCACTGATCTGCAAGGATTCAGAACTTGGCTGCTGGTGGACTCGCTTGCCAGCATGAGCCTTAATCATTCGAGAATTCGGACCAAGCATGCACTCTGTTCGAGCTTCTCTACGCATGCTGTTCCCCTCAAGGTGGAACGAAATGAATCCGAAAGAGAGGATTCGTCCCGGAGATTCCATCGTCAAGGCCGGCCGGCAGTGCAGTTTCAGCCCGCGGATGTTGTGCATTCAACCCAAAACGTCCATGATGCAACAGGTCAATGGCAAAAACGGCCTAACGGGCTTCAAGGAAGATATGATGAATCCGAAAGTTGAAGTGTGGCTTCCCAGTGTCGCTCCTCTCAGAAATCTTCAGAGCAGCGGCTGCCGTAGGTTCTTGAGATCCAGCTTGCCCCATTGAGCCGATATCACGAGGACCCCAGCTTTGAGAGGCACTGCTTTGCTCCCAGGAGGTGTTCAATTTAACCGCTGCTACCGACTGCCGCTGCCACTGCCGCTGCCTCTTGTGCTGCCGTCTTGTCGTCCGCTGGCCAAGCTGGGAGCCGTACAGATGCAGGACATGCAGTTTCAGACCCTAAATAGCCATGTCTCCTCAAACCTCAACTTAATGCAAGCGGCACTGTGAGGATGATGAGGAAGTTCCGACAGAGTCCTCAGTGCTCGGTCTGCATCTAGCCTGGCAGCGCAGATATGCTCTGTTTTTCAGCAGCAGGTTCTGACGGAAGAGGAGGAAGCTGTGGAAAGATATAAAGTGATTATCGAAGCCATGCAGGCTGCGGATGCGAATTTTGCGGGTGTGACATCCGTTCGGTTTTTCCACCTGAGCCGAGCTGTCGAAGGAGCTTTCTGAAGCGGAGAAGAAGCGAAGAGCAAACGCGGACCTTTGTCAGCAGTGCGTCCACTGGTTCAACAGCCTCCACCGAGAATGGCTTATGCATGCTGGTGCATGAGATTGCATGAGACTGTGCACGTTCGTTTCCCCACGCTTCTCCATCAGTTTTCGGTGGCTTCAAGGCGTCGGGGCGATTCAATCAGATCAGAGGCGCTAGCGTGCCGTTAGCACACGGACCTTGAACGCTGGTGCACGTGACAAACAAGACAAGCAAGTGTATGTTGCCTTGACACATCTGAAGCTTGTCGTCCTGATTCGGCCTGTTTCGAGAGAACGGGCCGTTTTCACGCTTGAGGAAAAAAGACGCTTGAAGGCCATCAGAGATGGTAAAGAGGCGCACAGCTCTGCTCGAGGCTACAAAACGTCCTGAGATCGTCCTGAGACTGGACAGGCCCTGGCTGCACTGGAGGCCACGCAAGGAGACTTCTATCGGCAGATGGCGCAGGCGACATTGCCCGAAGATTTGACCGTCCAGGCGCGAGTGGACAACACTATCATGATCTCTTGACTCTTGACTACAGGGCTTCAGGCCTGCAAGGACAGGAGACTCCTTGACAATCCAATGCCCCGAGCTGCCTCAGCATGGAAGTCCCACACTCCGGCATCTTGTGAGCCAGAAAGTGACAGGCAGAGGACCAACGAAGGGAACGTCTGGCCAGGCAGGATTGTATTCTGCTTCTGCCTGCTCGCTTGGTACATGTAGGGCACATATCGAAGTTGCTGCAGCCATCGCCGAAGTGCAGCCAGGGAAGCAGCACGAAGACAGCAGGCTGAAAGCTGTGCTTGTCCAGAAAGAACATGTTGAGATAAGTTAAGTCGTTCAGGAGCGCACATACGATCACGAGCCCCTGACTCGGCCTTTGCAGCCGGTGAACATGATAAAGGTATTGAGTCAGTAGTTTCTTCTCATCGCAGCATCGCCGAAGCTGTCAGGTCTTTGGTTGTCAGGCAACCCGCACTAACGGGAAATGATCCATCCGGCAGCCGTCTAAGTCCAGAAAATATGGATCCGCGGACATGTTGGTTTGTGATTTCGCTAAGATGCCGCTGGCCGATCGACTTTCGCGTGCCCTTGCTGCGGACGACTGTTCTATGTGTTCATGGAGGCCTGGCTTTGATGTCGCAGCAGCACGTCGCATCGTTTGGGGCCCGGACGAAGATAGGCTGGACAGCATTATGCAGTTGTTGCTCACGGTGTCGAACTGCTGGGCCAAGACCTGCCGCCTCCCGGCAAAATTGGGGCACAACTGCACAGCACGAGAACATGCCAAACACGAGGAATGACTGGATCCATAGCAGATGAAAGCTTGTCAGGCTTTCTCCACCTCAAGGGCCACCTGTCGCCAAGGCAGCTGCGCGAAACGCGCCGCAAGCAGTTGCGGCACCAGCAGCTTCTAGCCCTTCTCAAGGCCCACCACGTACAGAACCCCCCAGTGAGTCCCGAGCCGCGCCTCCGGCAACCGGAGGTGGCTTCTTTTAGAACCCCTGTCAGTGAAGAAAAGAGTTTGTGGTAGCTAGCGTTGTCGGGCCTCGCAAGTCAACCTCGCCACAGCAACCTGCTGACATGGACTTGCGGAATCTTGGATCGTACCAGGGAAGCTATGCATCCACTAGGTGATTCACGATCTACCACGAGACCCAAAGCTTCGACAAAGCATGACTCAGTCTCATCAGCCAGCCCCACAAGTCTTGGCACTTGCCCAGAACCACAGAAGAAAGCTGGCGAGCGGTTTCCAGCCTTGTCAAGAGACGGATGCGTTACCGCAGCACTCGTGGTGAGAGGGGTGCAACCTTCGAGCAGGCTCTGTCACGTGGCTATGCACCAGATGGAGGACTCTACGTTCCGGAAGAGCTGCCAAAAATATCCCTCGATGTGTTGCGCACATGGCGAAAGCTTGATTTCCCGTCCCTGGCTTTGGAGCTTATGAAGCTCTTCGCGGGGGATGAGTTGACCGAGGCAGAGCTGGCAGAAGTAGTACGTGGGAGCTACGCAAACTTCTCTCACCCCGAGATCGTGCCTGTCGTACCCTTACAGCGTCGTGGGGCAGCTGATGCCGAGTCCCAGGTCTTTATCGCTGAGCTGTTTCACGGCCCCACCTTCTGCTTCAAAGACCTAGGGCAACAGCTACTTGTGCGCCTGCTTGCGCATTTCTCCAAACGTCGAAACCAAAGGCGTACGTTCCTCGTGTCTACGACCGGTGACACTGGTCCAGCTGCGATGAGGGCCGTATCGGATGCGGCTTGCCCGAACTTGCAAATCATTGTCTTTTTCCCAGATGGACAGATCTCCGAGCTTCAGCGACGACAAATGACAACTGTATCTGGTGTTGGAGCAAAGGTTGTAACTTTCGAGGGCGGAGGAGATGACATGGACCTACCTATTAAGCAGCTAAGCTCCGACGCAGCATTCGCCGAACGGCACGGGCTCTGCGGCATCAATTCCTACAACTTAGGCCGGCCGTTGGCACAGCTGTGCCACTTCTTTTGGAGCTATTTGCGTTCTCTCGACCAACTACAGGCGGAGGTCGGCAGGTGCTTAGACTTCTGTTTGCCAGCTGGGGCCTTGGGCAATACAGCTGCAGCGTTTATGTCTCGTCAGATGGGTCTTCCTATTCGACAGATCGTGGCCGGTGTGAATGCAAATGACATTACTCATCGGACCATCACGAAAGGGGAATTTCATCGAAGTGAGCACATGGAAAAGACTTTGTCTGATGCGATCAACATCCAGGTGCCATACAACATGGAGCGGGTCCTGTTTTATTTGACGGGGGAAGATTCATCCCTCATCAAGTCCTGGATGGCAGAGATGGACGCGACGGGCCGCCTGACCCTCCCTGCCGCCTTGCTGCGAAGGATGCAGGACGCTTTTGCTTCTGCACGAGTTGATGATGACGCAATGTGCGCATGCATCCGTCGCTCGGTCGAAGAGTATGGATACTTATTGTGTCCACATTCAGCTGTGGCCTTAGCGGCACATTTTGCGACGTCTGAGTTGCACGACTCAACTCGGGCAGCTCGTGTCGTGTTTGCGACTGCTTCGCCGTGCAAGTTTGAGCATTCGGTCACAGCAGCCTTGGGCAGTGATGCGTGGAAGCGCTACCAGGACAGACACAGCAGCAGCTCTGCTGTTGCGGACTGAATCCCATCATCTGTGCGATTGGCAGGAGGGTCCCGAATTTCCTGCTGCAGCTCGAGCGGTGCTTGCTGCTCAGGAGAGCCTGTCCTGACCTCGGCAGCTGTTGTTCGCCAGATTCGCCAGCACAGTTTCTGCTGTTGCTATCCCGGTGATGTATTACAACCGCTTCATCCCTCGATAATTTAGTGCTCTCGAGTCTTTCCGCCCGTGCTTCTCCAGAAAAGGTTAGCCTGAAGCCTCCCAGAATCAGTGCTGCGGAGGCCGACAGCGCGAGAAGCCTTACTGGGGGATGTTGCACTGTACATGGGCGGCCCAGTGGTCCGGCTCGGAAGTGCCGTAGGTTTAAATGTCCTGTCATAAAGCATTTGCCTTATCCTGATGGCTTCCTCTGATAACAGTGTCGACCTTCGCGCTTGCCATCTGTCCGTCCACGACCATGCGGACGCAAGATCGAGCATGCTTGCGCCACTGATTGGATCGGAACCGTTGTGCTTTCGGCATTTTTGCACGCAAAGTGGTTGACGTTAGATCTTCGTGCAGCTTAGGGAAATACATCGACGATAGCTACGCAAGAGGACATCTCGGTACACAAAAAGCCGAAGGCGAACATCATTATGATAACATCGATTTGCCTGCATGCCTTTTCACCTGCCTTCCTGCTTCAGCAGCTCTGCCTGTGTCACGCCTGCGTCACCAGCAGTCGAGGTTTTCTAACAGACGCTTGGCTTCTGTCCATATACATCACAACACGCACAGCGACTCGACTCAGCCTGTATATCTGCTGTGCTGTTTCGAAACAACCTACATGTTTGCTTTGCTTGCCCCCTTGCAGTTGATTTCCGATGTTCACAAGAACAGTGGAAGAAACTCACATGCCCGCAGCTGCAAACACGCTATACAACAACTGCCCGCGACTTGAGGCCAATGCGTTTCGAAGCTGAAGAATCGCCTGGAACTCAAGACCGTCCCAATCCTTTGAACAGGGTCATTTCGATACATGCTCGATTTGAATACTCAGGTTGGCTCAGACACAAACCTCTTGGGAATCCCAACTTCGTCTACTGCTGGAGACATAAAATTCAAACACGGATTGAACATAGATAAAAATCATATCGACATTTCGATTGAATAATTTCGTGAGTAAGACCTCAATATGTTAAGATGTATTTAATTTATAAGATCCTGCGTGCTTCCTCCAGTGCCGGTACGGAACCGCTAAAATCCCGGGATTCTGGGGTCGTCGGCAAGCTTGCAGGTGCTTGCCTTTAAATTAAGGGCGAATCTTACGTATGAAACCCAACTTTATTCTCTTTTTAGTTTCGCCGCTTCGATAAATATTTGATGGGAGTGTCGCGGAGTGCGGGCGAGGGGAGGTGCGTCACGGGAGGGCATATTTCTGGAGTGGTGGGCGGAAGAGCGGCCGAGGGCGTCTATATTGGGACGACTGGTAGGGTGGCGAGAGAATACTAAGAACAATATATAATAAGAATGTTTTTCATTTTTAGAATATTCTGTTATATTAAACTGATTCGATTTTTTGGTACTATTTTAAAAATATTTCTCTATATGATATTATATTGAAAAAATCGATATTCTAATTAGAATATAATCAAAGAATTGATTTTAATTATGAAAAATGAATATAGGATTAATAATTAGAATATATCGGAAAAATATGTTTATATCGGGAAGGGAAAGATTATATTTCTATTAAATATTATATGAAATATTTTAGTTTATTCGATAATTTTTTTTTTAATTGAATTTCATATCATATCTATATTTTTCGAAAAATAATAAAATTATAAGATTTTATGAAGATATTTATGTATTAGATATTAATCGATAGAAAAATTAGGAGAAATATAAATAGAATAATGAAAT